TCAGCAGGTTGAAGCGACCCCAATAATGTGATATTTAGGCCCTGGAATGTGAATTGTACCAGGAGAACCCCGCCAAAAAAATGTGTATTTTACTGGGAGATCCCCTCGAAAGCAATTGGGCTATTTTCAGGCTAGTTTTGAGTAGTAATTGGGCGGGTTTTGTAGCGAAAACCTGGCAACCCTGCACCAGACAAAGCTGTCGGCGATTTTTCCTATTGTAAAGTCATGCAGTGTGTAACCTCCTGCCGTCGTTCCATCGTGCAGTGTTACCCCAGATAGTAGTTCAGTGTGAAACCAACAGTGATGCGATGTCTTTGAAAATTGTGCAGTGTGAACTCGGCATAACTGTCTAATGAACATCAAATTTGATCTAATTGGCAAAAGTGCTGTTTTGTGCTCAATTTTCGATTTCTGAAAAATGTACTTGTTCCTGGAAATGTGTTGCATATTCTGTATTGCAAAACCCTCTATAATTTACTTAGTTGTTAAATGTGACCTGCTTCTAAATTGTTTCCCTCTGTCTCTATTTGTTTGTTTCTCAGGGTGCAGAGAAAGTCCAGGAGCTGTTGTTGAGCGTCATCAGTCGTGTGGGAATCGTGGTATCCCTCATCTGTCTGGCCATGAGCATATTCACCTTTTGTTTCTTCTTTTTCATGTCAGCAGGTTGAAGCGACCCCAATAATGTGATATTTAGGCCCTGGAATGTGAATTGTACCAGGAGAACCCCGCCAAAAAAATGTGTATTTTACTGGGAGATCCCCTCGAAAGCAATTGGGCTATTTTCAGGCTAGTTTTGAGTAGTAATTGGGCGGGTTTTGTAGCGAAAACCTGGCAACCCTGCACCAGACAAAGCTGTCGGCGATTTTTCCTATTGTAAAGTCATGCAGTGTGTAACCTCCTGCCGTCGTTCCATCGTGCAGTGTTACCCCAGATAGTAGTTCAGTGTGAAACCAACAGTGATGCGATGTCTTTGAAAATTGTGCAGTGTGAACTCGGCATAACTGTCTAATGAACATCAAATTTGATCTAATTGGCAAAAGTGCTGTTTTGTGCTCAATTTTCGATTTCAGAAAAATGTACTCGTTCCTGGAAATGTGTTGCATATTCTGTATTGCAAAACCCTCTATAATTTACTTAGTTGTTAAATGTGACCTGCTTCTAAATTGTTTCCCTCTGTCTCTATTTGTTTGTTTCTCAGGGTGCAGAGAAAGTCCAGGAGCTGTTGTTGAGCGTCATCAGTCGTGTCGGTATCGTGGTATCCCTCATCTGTCTGGCCATGAGCATCTTCACATTCTGTTTCTTCCGTGGGCTGCAGAGTGACAGGAACACAATCCACAAGAACCTGTGCATAAACCTTTTCATCGCTGAGCTCATCTTCCTCATCGGAATCGACATGACGGAAACCAGGGTAACGTTACCTTGAATGATGTGATGTTTTCAGCGAGTCTCATGGAAATGTCTAGAGACGTGTCCATAACATCCAAGACACATTTTTGAAGGGAGTTCCAGTGAGTTCCAGCAGCATTTTGACACATGATTATAGTTTTTCAGGCGTACTGGATTTTTGCGAGTCAATAACTTGACACTTTTTGTCCAGAATTTATTTGAAGAAATGCATTTCAAATGTACGTGTAATAATTTTTTTTTTTTTACATTTTTGAACTTAAAAATGCGATCATTATATTACTGAAAAGCTTGACTACTACTAATATGAAAAAAAGGCCCGGAAAGGCTCTATACTTTTTGCTGGATCATGGCTGTGGGGATTTTCTCTCATTTAGACACAATGGCATCAGAGATGCTGTCTCTATTTGTTTGTTTCTCAGGGTGCAGAGAAAGTCCAGGAGCTGTTGTTGAGCGTCATCAGTCGTGTGGGTATCGTGGTATCCCTCATCTGTCTGGCCATGAGCATCTTCACATTCTGTTTCTTCCGTGGGCTGCAGAGTGACAGGAACACAATCCACAAGAACCTGTGCATAAACCTTTTCATCGCTGAGCTCATCTTCCTCATCGGAATCGACATGACGGAAACCAGGGTAACGTTACCTTGAATGATGTGATGTTTTCAGCGAGTCTCATGGAAATGTCTAGAGACGTGTCCATAACATCCAAGACAAATTTTTGAAGGGAGTTCCAGTGAGTTCCAGCAGCATTTTGACACATGATTATAGTTTTTCAGGCGTACTGGATTTTTGCGAGTCAATAACTTGACACTTTTTGTCCAGAATTTATTTGAAGAAATGCATTTCAAATGTACGTGTAATAATTTTTTTTTTTTACATTTTTGAACTTAAAAATGTGATCATTATATTACTGAAAAGCTTGACTACTACTAATATGAAAAAAAAGGCCCGGAAAGGCTCTATACTTTTTGCTGGATCATGGCTGTGGGGATTTTCTCTCATTTAGACACAATGGCATCAGAGATGGGGCCTGGCTCGTTGTTCCAGATCATTCCAAATGTGTTCAGTGGGGTTCAGGACTGGGCTTTGTGTGGGCCAGTCAAGTTCTTCCACACCAGTAAACCATTTCTTTGCAGACCTTGCTTTGTACACAAGAGGCATTATCATGCTGAAACAGAAAAGGCCCTCTCCAAACTGTTGCCAGAAAAGTTGGAAGCACACAATTCTGTAGACTGTCGTTTTATGCCAAAGCATAAAGATTTGTCTTCACTGGAATTAAGAGGCCCAGCCAAAGCCATTAATTAGAAGGGGGTCCACATACACTTGGCTACCTATTGCATAGATATACTACCTGACATTTTTTAAAGCCATTAAATCAAAACTTTTGTTGAAAAGATGTTATAAAAGTAAAAAAAAAAAGTTGAAACCAACATAAATACAAAGTTTTTTTTTTGTTTTTTTTTTGGACTTGGTACGTTACCTTGAATGGATGGGATGTTTTCAGCTAGTCTTAGGGGAATGTCTAGGGATGTGTTTACAACATTCAGTCAGAGAGAGTCAGTAATTTGGCTTCTTTTTTGTGTATAATTTTTTTAATAAAATGCATTTCACATGAATATATTTTAACCTTTTACACTGAACATATTTTAAATTTCTGAATTGAAATCAAGCTAGATAATGTCAATGTCAAAATGTTTAACTGTCCCTGGTTAGTAATAAAAAATGCAATTAAATTGCTGAAAGAAATAAAATAGAATTACAAAGCTAAATAAAAAAGAGCAATTAAATCAAAACTTTGTTGAAAATGTTCTAAAAGTTAATAAACATAAAAAAAAAAATAATAATAAAATAATTAAATTAAATTAAATTTTATTTTAAACTACAGTAGATTTTCAAGCTTTGACCCCTGTGTCTGTCCCACAGATGGCCTGCTCCATAATTGCAGGAATCCTGCATTACTTTTTTCTGGCATCTTTCACATGGATGTGTTTGGAAGGGGTTCAGCTCTATCTGATGCTGGTGGACGTCTTCGAGAGTGAATATTCACGCAGGAGGTATTTCTACATGGCGGGATACCTCCTCCCTGCTGTGGTCGTGGGCGTTTCCGCTGCTGTAGACTACAGAAGCTACGGGACCAAGAAAGCGTAAGCAAGCATTTTCTTTGTTTTTCGTTTTTTTTTTAATGCAACTCTGTCTGCAGGAGCGTACCACAATCTGACGGTTCCATAGGTACCACACACACACAGAAAGTCTTCAGAGGATGCCTTACAGTACAAAATGCGGTTTCCAGGCAGGGCTGCATGCGTTAGTGTCTTTTGTTCAAAGAGTCTCTGGTGACCTGTTGTTTGTAAATGCTCTCTAACGGAGACGAGGGCCGCATGAGAAAGAGGCTTTTACGCAGATTAATGGCAGTGCTTCAGCCCTGCATGGGCTCTTGGGTTGCTCCTTATAACACATAAACAGGTGGTAGTGTGCCGGCCCTGTCTGCCACATCACTGTCTCTTAATACGAAGCACAGAGCTTTGCTTCACATATGTTTATATTGGTATGAAAGCGATGCTTGTAGCATTGCATTTGTCTCCGATGTTTCTACGGTTTCTTAGAGCACTGAAGAACATTGACAATTTATATGATCAGTGTTTCCCACTGGAAGTCGCACTCTAGAGAAACAGGATCTGTTACAGGAAATTACTGTCTTTGAGCAGCGTTTAATAAACGAATGCGGAATCAACCCATATAAAACATTGTAATGTAACCCACATGAGCCTGCTCAGTAACAGATACCGTCCTTGGTGTGTATGTTTATTAGTGCTGTTTGCAAAGGCAAGCATCTCTAATACAATTGCTCATACTTAAAGATGCGGAATTCGAACAAATACTACTCAAATTCATATGTAAATGCAAGTATCCACTTGTTAAGACTTTCCGGGTCTAAACGCTTTATCAGATACCAAAAGCAAATAACACATGGTGCTAATATACACTCATGGTGTGCTGTAATACTACCGAAATATCACGTTGCTAACTTTTATCTCCATACCGAAGTCACAGATGACCAGACATAGATTCATCTTTTATGAATCTTTAAACTATTGGTGTGTGGGATGCAGTGAGCCTGGAGGCTGTAGTGTTCACTGTGATTTTAAATGTTTAGCTTAAAGGGATAGTTTACACAGAAATGTACATTTTTATCATCATTTACTTACCCTCATGTTTTGTATGAATTTCTTTCTTCTGTTGAATACAAAAGAGATATTTTGAAGACTGTTGGGAACAAAACAGTTCTTACATACAGTGCTATGGAAGCAAATGTGACCCTGGACCACAAAACCAGTCTTAAGTCGCTGGGTTATATTTGTAGCAATAGCCAAAAATACATTGAATGGGTCAAAATTATTGATTTTTCTTTTATGCCAAAAATCATTAGGATATTAAGTAAAACTCATGTTCCATGAAGGTATTTTGTAAATTTCCTACTGTAAATATATTAAAACTTAATTTTTGATTAGCAATATGCATTGCTAAGAACTTCATTTGGACAACTTTAAAGGCGATTTTCTCAATATTTAGATTTGTTTTGCACCCTCAGATTCCAGATATTCAACTAGTTGTATCTCGGCCAAATATTGTCCTATTCTAACAAACCATACATCAATGGAAAGCTTATTTATTCAACTTTCAGATGATGTATAAATCTCAATTTCGGAAAATTGACCCTTGTCCAGGTCCAATCAATTGTTTGGTTAGCCATATTCTTCAAAATAGCATCTTTTGTGTTCAGCGGAAGAAAGAAATTCATACAGATTTGGAACAACATGAGGGTAAGAATATGATGATAAACTGTTTATTTTCGGGTGATCTATCCTTTTAAATAATATGAAATGAAGAGGTATCAAGTGACACCAATAAATAGTGCTCATGTCATTCACTTCACCTCAATTTCTAACACAACAAGAAGCAGTTAAAAGAGAATCTCGCTTGGTAGTTGATCAGCCCTCCGATTTTCACCCGGTGGGCCAATGTTTTATCTCGAAAGTGTGTGCAAGCACCATTTGTTAAAGAACATGTTTCTGTAAAACTCTTGTTTTTGTCTAAAGTAATAGAATGGCTTAGACATGTTTTCTATAAGCTGCCATGTTGCATTTCTTTTATTGTGAATATGTTGTCTTTGCAGATGTTGGCTCAGGATGGACAATCACTTCATCTGGAGTTTCATCGGACCCGTCACCTTCGTTATTATGGTGCGTTCGGTATCTACTGACCTTCACGTGGCTTAAGATTGTATATGGCATGTACATGAGTGTGTGTGATTGAGTGCTGAATACATGCATCAGGTGAAAGAACAGAATAAGACTGTGTCTCAGAGTTTAAAGTCTAACTGACAACATCCGCCTGTGCAAAAACATTGCTGCCTTTGTTTCTTCAGTCTTATTCAACAGATTGCAGCCCATCGATTTCTGCTTAGATCGGTTCAGTCTCGGCAGACCCAGTCAATGCAGCCTGCGGAGAGGTTCGGAAATGCTGCTCTAAAGGCTTTTTTTCTTTCTCGGGGATCGTTTTGATACGATGCGGCTTTTTCAATGTGGCATTAGAGCACATATTATCCTCAAATGATACTCAGCAGGGCGCTTTCAAGCTACGGGGTCGAGACAGCCCGTCGGGATGCGGACAGAAGAAATGGCAATGTCAAATAATACAAATCAAAAACGTATATTGTCATGGTTCAACCTTTTAAGGAGGTAGCTGATGACACTACAGAGTTTGTTTGCCGTGAGATGCCGGTCATAAGGCATGCCGGATTGACACAGCTGCAGTTTAAGCATGCTGTTATTTGCGAATAAGAGATTAGAGCCTTCGGACTAGATTGGGGAGGTTAAGAGGAAGTAGGATAGAGAGAGTCTGCGTGGTGGAAAGACTAGCAGGTGGTATTCACATCTGTCTGGCTGTTTGTTTGCCCTCTAATCTCTGGATGAAAAAACAAATTGTCTTCTTGAAAATGGAAGGACATGTAGAGATGTCTGTGAATGGTTGACTTTATATCCTTTATGGTTATGTAAACAGACCAGGCGATCTTCCTGCCGGGGTGAACAGTGATGGAAGCTCTGTTTATTTAGGTTTTAGATAAAAAACAGATTTAAAGACACACAGATGGTTCAAACACTGGTTTGTGGCGCAATAAAATATAGAAGGTAATTAGAGAAGTGGCCTGAAACAATTGTAGAGGAGCGGCCTGAAACATCTACATGTGCTTTTAGTAATCAAATTATATAAAGTGATCCAGTGTTATTTAAATAACACAAAAAATGTAAATTAAACATTTCTATTAAATGGAATTCGTCGCATAACCATAGAGCAAAGACGTATCAAAAATCTAAATTTCAGACTCTTTTAAAATGTAGTTACTTGAAATTTAGCATTTGACTAAGGCTAAAATATACAAATTAGTGTAACATTTACAACGAAATTTACTTGTAAATTGTAAATGTGATTTGCTGTAGATATTTAATGATCATTTTATCAACATTTTTATTACCTTGACTAGTTAGATATTTGATGTATGCTCTCAGGTCATAAAAGCAGAATGCGTAATATTTATAAAGGATTATCAAAAAGCTGTTGAATAGTTATAAATGGAGTGTAACATATCCCTCTTCTTGACAAGTCAAACTGATTCTAAAGAGGCTGGCAGGCCGCGAGATACTGCAAAGAATGCACATTTTTGCAGCCGCGCTTGGAGGAAGTCCTGCAAACCCTGAGATCTGCTCGTTTAGCCACTGCAGCGCTGGATGAGGCGTGATGTATGTGTTTGCGGTGTTGCTGATAATCAGAATACTTGTTCCAGTCATCAGCGCCGGGAAGCTTGTGACCCTTTATGAAGCTGATTTATTGTTGCGTGCTTTGCTCGGACGGCAAGCAGGACTCGTAGTCCTCAGGCTGCTTGACAATGCTAGATAAAGCACAAAGACCAGAGTCTCTCAGGGGAACGCGAGTCCAAGGTTTCCCCCAACCTCTGACCCCTGATTCTCAGCAGATTGGCTTTGTCCTTGTCAGTGAGAGAGCCAGAGCGAGTCTCATTATTCAGAATTTCACCCATTCCGCCGTGCAGAGGGAAAGAATAGTGTGATCCTGTTCAATTAGTTGAAGCCCATTGTGGTTCTCATTATTCTACATCTATTTTCAGCGTCCTCATGCCCGATGCTGCAGCGATGTAGAGCTCCATGAATTTCACAGCTAATCTAGTTCCTTTTTCCACCAATAGGGTCCCTGAGTCTTATATGCAAGTGTTTTCCACCATTTTCCACCACAGAAAAGTCAATTCTGAGCCATAAACATCGGTTTGATATTTGCTGTCAATGCCATCTGGTCTCAAACAACATGTCTATTTCAACCAGGAATACTACATTCAACCCAAGTTCAATGGAAATACGTATCTGTGTCAGCATTTCTGACAAATATTAGGCTGCTGCTTGTGCGTTTCGTGACACATTCAAACTGAAACGTCCAATGAGTGGCGCTAAAAATGTGTTTAGTTTTAATCTGCTGTAAAACAAATGAGTGTGCATCAGGCAACATTTTATTCTAATTCATTTGATTTGATTTTTGTACGCATTTCAGAAATGTAATGTCCAGTGAGTGGTGCCAAAAATCTTGTTTGAAAATAGCATACCACCTACCCTAAACCTAACCAATAGTGTTAACACAAGCAAATGCTAAATAAATAAAAAAATCTATTTTAGTTAATTTTTCAAGCCTTTGAGTTTTTTTAATTGTGACTCGTGTTGCACTCACATCCACTCGTGCTCAGCATTCGCAACAAATTGACCCTTCGCAGGGAGTTTGATTGGCAGGCAGTCTGACTAATCGTAGCGCCGAATCTGCCAGTGTTGTCCGACAAACAAAACAGACCAGAGAGTAGATTAACGATGGTGGATTTGAACTTGAAAGATACCTTCTGATGTTCATTCATGTTTATTTCATGCTATTACTAGTAAAGAGGAAGAGATGGTTGGTTCATGTGCTGCTTGAACTGAGGCACTACAGTGATCTGTCATGACACATTAAAGAGCCACAAAAAGGTATTAATTGTTTGAATTGCTTAAAAAATGACAAGTCTTTGTTTCATTCCAGAAGTAACCTGCTCTGTCTTGTCTGTCGGCATGTTGTCAGTTTTCGCTATGTATTTTTCACTGTGTGAGAACATGATGTGTGGTGTGAGAGTGAGTGATGGAAGCTCTGTTTATTTAGGTTTTAGATAAAAAACAGATTTAAAGACACACAGATGGTTCAAACACTGGTTTGTGGCGCAATAAAATATAGAAGGTAATTAGAGAAGTGGCCTGAAACATCTGCATCTGCTTTTAATAATCAAACACTATGAAATGATCTAGAGATTATTTAAATATTTAAGAAAAATTCATAAATAAAATAAACTGAGCATTTCCATTAAATGGAATCTGTCACGTGACATCCTAACCATAGAGTAAATGTAAAAGCAGACATAGAAAAAACAAATCAAAATCTCAAACCAATTTAAATATAATTATTACTGTGAACATTGAAACGGAACATTTACTTAAAATAATTTGACTACAGAAAATGTGATTTGCTGTGACTGTAGATATTTCTATTAAAATGTTACCTTGACTAGTTAATAATTCTGTGGATATGTCAAATTTATTGGATGTACAACTATTGGATGTATGTGCGCAATTAAAATAAGGTCATAAAAGCTGAATGTGTAATATATAAAAATAATTATCAAACTGCTGTTGTATAGTTATAAATGGAGTATAACATATCCCTATTCTCAACGTTTCAAACTGATTTTAAAGAGGCTGACAGACCACGAGATACTGCAAACAATGCACATTTTTGCCGCTGCTCTTAGAGGAAGTCTTACAAACCCAGAGATCTGCTCGTTTAGCCACTGCAGCGCTGGATGAGGCGTGATGTATGTGTTTGCGGTGTTGCTGATAATCAGAATACTTGTTCCAGTCATCAGCGCCGGGAAGCTTGTGACCCTTTATGAAGCTGATTTATTGTTGCGTGCTCTGCTCGGACGGCAAGCAGGACTCGTAGTCCTCAGGCTGCTTGACAATGCTAGATAAAGCACAAAGACCAGAGTCTCTCAGGGGAACGCGAGTCCAAGGTTTCCCCCAACCTCTGACCCCTGATTCTCAGCAGATTGGCTTTGTCCTTGTCAGTGAGAGAGCCAGAGCGAGTCTCATTATTCAGAATTTCACCCATTCCGCCGTGCAGAGGGAAAGAATAGTGTGATCCTGTTCAATTAGTTGAAGCCCATTGTGGTTCTCATTATTCTACATCTATTTTCAGCGTCCTCATGCCCGATGCTGCAGCGATGTAGAGCTCCATGAATTTCACAGCTAATCTAGTTCCTTTTTCCACCAATAGGGTCCCTGAGTCTTATATGCAAGTGTTTTCCACCATTTTCCACCACAGAAAAGTCAATTCTGAGCCATAAACATCGGTTTGATATTTGCTGTCAATGCCATCTGGTCTCAAACAACATGTCTATTTCAACCAGGAATACTACATTCAACCCAAGTTCAATGGAAATACGTATCTGTGTCAGCATTTCTGACAAATATTAGGCTGCTGCTTGTGCGTTTCGTGACACATTCAAACTGAAACGTCCAATGAGTGGCGCTAAAAATGTGTTTAGTTTTAATCTGCTGTAAAACAAATGAGTGTGCATCAGGCAACATTTTATTCTAATTCATTTGATTTGATTTTTGTACGCATTTCAGAAATGTAATGTCCAGTGAGTGGTGCCAAAAATCTTGTTTGAAAATAGCATACCACCTACCCTAAACCTAACCAATAGTGTTAACACAAGCAAATGCTAAATAAATAAAAAAATCTATTTTAGTTAATTTTTCAAGCCTTTGAGTTTTTTTAATTGTGACTCGTGTTGCACTCACATCCACTCGTGCTCAGCATTCGCAACAAATTGACCCTTCGCAGGGAGTTTGATTGGCAGGCAGTCTGACTAATCGTAGCGCCGAATCTGCCAGTGTTGTCCGACAAACAAAACAGACCAGAGAGTAGATTAACGATGGTGGATTTGAACTTGAAAGATACCTTCTGATGTTCATTCATGTTTATTTCATGCTATTACTAGTAAAGAGGAAGAGATGGTTGGTTCATGTGCTGCTTGAACTGAGGCACTACAGTGATCTGTCATGACACATTAAAGAGCCACAAAAAGGTATTAATTGTTTGAATTGCTTAAAAAATGACAAGTCTTTGTTTCATTCCAGAAGTAACCTGCTCTGTCTTGTCTGTCGGCATGTTGTCAGTTTTCGCTATGTATTTTTCACTGTGTGAGAACATGATGTGTGGTGTGAGAGTGCCATGGCTTGTCATTGTCGGACATAGCAACAATAACTAAGGGGGGCAGGTCTTTGCGAAGGGTCAGTTGTACCAGGTGAGCTACCAAGCAAGTTTACTACATTAGAAAAGCTAAGGAGCTGCTAGGGTAAAAGCATTTTGAACAAAACATTGTGCAAGGAGCCATGCAAAAAAATGTTCGTTATTAATTATAATTTATCTAATTATCATTTGTGTAAAAAGGAATACAACTTGTTGGTGTTTTACTGCTACTAGTGGTCATTTCAGCTGGAAACTGCAGTGAATTGGATGTATATGCGCTTACAGCTGGTCCATCAACTTGACCAGCACTAAACAGCATAAACTGGTCTTTAAATGTATTTCAACAAAGCTGTTTACACTAGATAAGCCTGGTATGATGCAACATAATTTTAATTGAAATACATCCTGTTCATTTATACTTTTGTTTTTGTTCTGGTTTGTTCTGTTTTTGTTTTTTTTTGTTCTAAAATTTAATTTACAAATATAGTATGTTTGAATTAACTGCTATATATATATATATATTATTATAATTTTTTTTTAACGACCATTGCATCAAAAGCAGCTTGCGATGCAATAAATCTCCAAGTAAGACTAAGGCCCCGTCCACATGGAGACGCGTTTAATTGTATATGCATACATTTTGTATCGTATCGGCGTTTCGTCCAGACGGATCCAGCGTTTTGGGAGAGTAAAACCAATATTTTTTGCAACCAGGTCCCAGAGTGGATAAATTTGAAAACGGCACCCTTGCGTTTTCGTGTGGACAGCGAATCCGTATATTTTCTGAAACGATGACGTCATCAGCCCACGTCTCGCCCCTAGTCAGACACCGCTACGTCACGTAACAGCAACAAAAACATGAACAAACACTGAACGATTGTCTTTTTATTAACTAACATTATCAAAGATTAATAAATGTATTGTTTCATGTTCGTTTGTATACCGCACGCAAGGTTTATGCGCATAGTCAAAGTCTTCTTCTCCGTTTTTAGTGTATCTCTGTAGAAGAATTACAGCGCCACATACTGGTCTGGCATGTATACTACTTCATTTGTGTCGGTTTCGTGGTTTCGTGTGGATGCAGATATTTCTTGAGACGAGAAGAAATAAAAGATCGGATAGGGAAAGCTCTGGCTTCGTGTGGATGTAGCCTAAATCTCATAACATTTGCCAAAAAAAAATTGTCTTATTTTTTTTTTGTAAACAGGTCATAAACTAATATAGTTTGTAACATCATAATATGGCTCTCAAGTCAGTGAAAACTTGGTGGAAAATGCAGGCACTGATACTGAGAGAAGTTTGCACATTCACCAGCCAAACACTGGCTCAGGCAGGACAGCCACCACCGGGTTTTGGTGGAAAAAATGTTTCTCAGCTCTGGGGCACCAGGCATATAAGATCCATGAAAACCAGGACACTGAGCTAATGAGCGGTCGGGAACCATTAGTGCGTGTGAGTGACGTTAAAACACGCTTTGACTGTGACACGTTTGCATCATGCAGACAGTTCCATCTGCACCTTAAATATTTTATCAGGTTCAATCTGAGTTCAAGACGCACACACACAAATACGAACACACGCATACAGCTTTCTCCAGCATCCCAGAGTGGAGTTGAGGGTCTTCTGCTTGGCTAGCGGTGATGATTCAGGGACGGGGGGGTTTGTTCAGGAAAAGCTCTTTTCGAAGCGGAGGAAGCCCATGGGACGGGCAGGAACAAGGAGCTTTAGGAGTGTAGTGGCTGCTTTGCAAGGTTACCACTCCCTCTGCTGAGCGTCCTTACTTCCTCTCGTCTCATCAGATCGCTGTCAGTGCTCTGGCGGCGTGAGAGGCCTTTTATAGCTCTGTGCTCATAAATGCGGGCGCAGGGGGTGCAAAAACCAGGCATACCCCCGCTACCCCTCCTCTCTCTCTCTCTCTCTCTCTCTCTCTCTCTCTCTCTCTCCGTGATGTCTCTGAGAAACCGTGGCACTTGATTGCATGAGCAGCACGTTATTGATCGCCATCGCTGTTTTGATGGCAGAATGATGAGCTTGTGCGCCCGAACAAGGAGCCGAACTGAAGAGCTTGTTTGAGCTGGTGACACCGCCACTTATGAGAGCGACCGCAAATGATAGACTGCTGCGTCCTCGCCTGTCTGTGCTCCAGAAAATGGATTAGACCAGAAAATGTTCCGTCACCACGTAGTCGTCCCACATAGTTGTAGCTATTGGGAAGTCATTTTACACAGTACGTATTAAATTATGACCAATGCATTACTTTAGGTTGTTACAAGGTCCCTCTCGCTGTCTGTCGCTGTGTGTGTGTGTCTTCGAAGTCCATGAATGTTTTTTAACATTGCAAATGAAACAGATGTGAAGGATATCGATTGTTTATACTGTCAATTATTGGACACTGAATATTTTTGTTTTGTAGATAAAAGATCCTGGACACTCTGACTTTTTTATAATAAAATGCGTTAACTAACTTAATATCTAAAGGCAGCTTCAGTAACATGACTATCTAAGAAAATAAATCAGATCCCTAAGTAGGTAAGAATGAACAGAAATGTGTTTAAAGCAAGTACACTTACAGTTCAAGTCTAAAGAGCAATTGCTAATCAACATGTATGCTGCTATCATATTTACTAGCAAAAAAAAGTAAAAAAAAAAAATAATTTCAGTTTGCTACTTTTTGCATTTGTGTCAAAAGTGTTTTGACTGTTCTACTGAAACAGATCCATGAACGATTATGTGCTTCCCTAAACAATCGGATGGAATCTGAAGACTTTTGAAATTTTTGATAATTGCGCTTACATTGAGCAAAACATATTTACTCTAGGTTGTTTGCTATTTAAATAGAATGTATTTATGAACTAATTGAAAATCTGGGGATTTAAGGTAACATTTTAATATATTTTATTAAATAACCTAATATTTACGGATAATATCTGTGGCATTCTGTTGATAACCACAGAAAATAAATTTGAGCAAGTACACTTACAGTTCAAGTCTAAAGAGCAATTGCTAATCAACATGTATGCTGCTATCATATTTACTAGCAAAAAAAAAAAAATCAGTTTGCTACTTTTTGCATTTGTGTCAAAAGTGTTTTGACTGTTCTACTGAAACAGATCCATGAACGATTATGTGCTTCCCTAAACAATCGGATGGAATTTGAAATCATTATTTTTCATTTTATATATCTAACATTCTGAAGACTTTTGAAATTTTTGATAATTGCGCTTACATTGAGCAAAACATATTTACTCTAGGTTGTTTGCTATTTAAATAGAATGTATTTATGAACTAATTGAAAATCTGGGGATTTAATGTAACATTTTAATATATTTGATTAAATAACCTAATATTTACGGATAATATCTGTGGCATTCTGTTGATAACCACAGAAAATAAATTTCACTGTAAATAGAATAAATGTTGTCTATATATATATATATATATATATATTGACTATATAAAACCTTGTACTCAGGTTCAAAAGCTTCCATTAAGAATTCATTTTAATTTTAATTTTAATTTTCACCAAAATTAAACTGCTTTGTGATGCAAGACAGCCAATAGGAAGTTATTTGGTGTTTTATATATATATAGCTTTATGAAGCTGGATGATTTTTATATTTATGTATAGATATTATAGAAGATATTTTAGAGAGAATATCAAGATATACACATTGAAAAACAGAAGATATATTTGTTTCATGTTGTCTTTAAGAATTCATAACCTGGGCAGCTACATCTATCCAGGACATTTTTTGTCTTGTCAAAGCTGAGGACAAAATCTACCTTTTTCTGTCCAGCTTCATTTGATTTTTAACGTCATAATTCTTACATTTGGACTTCAATGCTAATCCAACTGATTTGCCTGATCTAATGTTGTCTCTCTCCTCTGCTGGCCATGCTCTGTAGCTATGAAGATAATAAACCATTTATCAAGTAAGAGCGTTAGCTAGACATCTGTGCCACAGCCTCATGGTTGCTCCCCTTGTCATCTTATTGTCTGTTTGCTGGGCTCTTCCAGAAGCGCCGTCTCTCTGTGCTGCTCATGCGCGCTGTCTGTCTGTCTGTCTGTGGCTTAACTGGTTTCTTAATTTTTATTCCGCCTGGACCATTGCTGTATCTTAACTTCATACCCTTATATCCTTAAATTCTAAAAACCCTTTCCACCCTCCTTCCCCTCACCCTTCATTTTATCCCTACCCTGTCATCCTACCCTCAAACTCTCAGACCTCCTCACACTTCATATGGCAAACCCCCTAATTTATTCCTACTGTTATAACCTTCAGATGCCAAAATGTATATTCCCTTCATTTTCTCTCAGAAAAACTGTCATGCCCTCATTTACGACATACTGTACATGGGTATGTGATATATCAGTGGGTATTTATTTATTTACTTAGTCCATATTGTACTATGCATGTATATATTTAAGAAAAATATGTTATATTGGTATATTAAATATATTTATATATAATATTGTAACGGGGCTGACAAGACATGAGACGTGCGGATCCATATGCAAGCTTTTTATTAGGAGAAGACAGAGACGTGGTCATCAAACAGGCATGGGTCAGATAATGGCAGACAGGTATATGGCGGGCAAAACACAATAATAGTCCTAGGGCTAGCGTAGGTCACCGATCGGCAGACAGAATCACAGGGGCGAGACTAGAGGGATAAATCCAGGGAAAACAGGCAAGGATCCGAAACCGCGAAAACAGGCAAGGCAAAACAAAACAAGGAAAACACAGAGACTAGGAACGGGGTACAGGCTAAACAATACTCAGCAGAGAATGGCAGTTTGAGTGGGTGTTATATAGTGAGTGAGGTGATAATAAACAGCTGAGTGCAATGAGTGCAATCAGTGCAGTGTGCAAACCGTGCAATGAATGGTTTGATATGTAGTCCGTGGTGCTATGCAACAGTTTGTGTTGTGCGAGATTCAATGTAAAGGAAAGGGTGACCTCTGGTGGTGAATAAACGGTCCATGGACCGAATTCGTGACAAATATAAATTATATAAATATATACATGTAAATATTTTCAAAATATATACTGTATGTGTGTGTATTTATATATACATAATAAATATGCACAGTACGCACACATATATTACATAAACAAAAACTTTTTTGGATTTATTTTGGAAGCGATTAATCGTTTGATAGCACTAATTATAATAGTATGTCAAAATTGACTGTTGCATTTAAAACTAGTTAATAGATGCTATTATATAGTATTACTTAATAAATGACTTGCAGGATTTTATTTATTTATTTATTTATTTATTGAAACGATATATTTTAAAATTATATAAAATAATCATTGGCATGTCCGTATTGGAAGTAATTTTTATATTAATGCATACCATATATGCAAATCCATCTTTTATACTGTGCTTTTCAATGTTATGCCAAAATTCACTGTTGCATTTCAAAGTTTAAAAAAAAGGTATTATTTAGCTAGTTTCTATTTTATAAATGAATCAAAGTGTGTTACATATATATTTAGCTATTTATTTATTTTTAGACACAACAGTATTTTAATGTTAGCCATTTATCAGTTATGTGCCGTAAGATGAAAAATATAAATTTTAATATCAATGCATCCTCAGCTCCATCCATTAACGCCCCTCATGTATAGCTCTCAGTGCACTCTTATATCGTATCTCAGAAAATCTTTATACCCCAAAGCCCTCCTATTCCTCCTGCCTTCAAATCATCATATGTTGGTTTCTTGTTTCATCTCTCATCTCTCCTCTGATGAAAGCAAGCTCTATCTCTTTGGTTCCTTAGCCAGCCGAGACCTGTTGTCAGCGCCTCCTCCACTAAAACGGACCAATCAGAGATGATTACTGCTCTTTCTCTTTCCCCTCCGTCTGAATGCAGCCCAGTATCATGCGTCTTTACCCAGTAGTGTGGCATGCACAAATATCTCCACTGCCTCAATACTGATTAAACCTTCTTTACGATAATCCCGCTTTCATATGGGATTGATTAACCTCTCAATGATACGTTCCACTGCATTTCCCATCTACTTGTGCCAAAGATGTCAGTCCAAATGATTTTCGGAACCTGTGTTTGATTTGCTGAGACTGTAATGCTGTAATGATTTCAGCAGGAAATGTCCCTCTCTCATGCCTCATTGTTTCTGTTTCATTTGCTCTCGAAGGTCGTGGGTCATGGGCGGCTTTGCTCTGCTGTGTCTCTTGGGCCTGACCTGGTCATTTGGGTTGTTCTTTATCAGCGAGTCGTCCGTTGTCTTGGCGTACCTCTTCACCATCTTCAACACTTTCCAGGGCATGTTTATCTTCACCTTCCACTGCCTGCTTCAGAAGAAAGTAAGTGCTTCCTGAAATCTATTGTTCCACACGAGCTGCGGCAGCACTGGATTTGAACGAGAAGCGCACGTTAAAAAGTTGACTTGTTTCTTTGAACTGCAGGTTCGGAGAGAGTACAGCAAATGCCTCCGACACACGTACTGCTGTAGTGGGATCACGACAGAGAGCTCACACAACTCCACAAAGACCTCAACAACACGGACAAGCGCTCGCTATTCCTCTGGTACTCAGGTACAAACACTACTGGCCCAATTTCCATTGTTTTCATTCCGACGGCTTTTAATGCGACGTTCGGTTATGAGACACATTTCATATTGGAATGAAATGAAACTCTGTGAGTGCTTCCATCTGCTCCAGTACACACACACACACACACACACACAGGTCTTTTATCTATGTTTTTTCTTGTTTTTCGCAGACAGATTTTATTTGAACGTCTTTATGATGGATTGCATTATATTGTAGTGAATCATAGCAATAGCTGTGTATACTATGCATTGTTTAGATAGGGCTCTGGTATACTATAATATTTACTTGATAAACCGCATTATGATATCCAATGTAGCATTTATCTTGAATACTGTAAAATCTCTGGGGTAAATATTTTTCATACTGATTTATAGTTGTAATGTGAAAATAATGAGTGGGGAGTATTTTGTTTTTCAGCAACAAAAACGTCCCAAACAAATCACATTGATTATGTATGGGGAAAGATGCCCCAGTGTGCATTTACATAAACATTATAACCCAGAGAAAAGTTGAGCATACACAGGGTACATGATGGTGATGAATCATCCAGTATGTTAAGTCACATAAGTGGAAAACACAAAATGTTATATGTATTTAATATCATTTTTAACTATTTATTTTCGTAAAAGTGTTATGAATGTACAACATTAGGTCAAATATTCTATGTAAAAAATCATATACTGTAACAGTATCACTGTAAAACTTGTGAATTACACTATATAATTGTAGGCATTATTTACTGTCTACTGTACATTTTTACTATTTAACTTAACAATCATTTTAAATAGATTTCAGATATTTCACTCCATTTCATGTACAATAAATAATTAATAAATGTTAATATGTAAAATAATAAAACACAAGAGAGAGAAAAAAGTATCCTCAAAGATTTAACTTTACATTTTCACATTAAAAAACAAAAACTGTCCATAAATTCCCTATTAACAATAAACATGAAGCTTTTAATATCCAACATAGCATAAACTGTGACTATGGTATATATTACACTACTATATGTATGTATGTTTGTATGAATGAATGAATGAATGAAAACATTTGGCAAAAATACTTTTCAATATATCATGAAATTATTACAACTCTTCATCAAACTTTTAATGGAACCTGTATGGTTAATGAACTACACGTGAGGTTACTCTTAAGTCATTGGAAAGGCTCCGAAAAGTGAAGTTAGTTCTGATAAAAGCTATCATTTGTTTCTAGATGCCACTTGCTTTTGTTATAAAAGTATGAATGTCATTGCATCAGATACGTACAACTGAAGTGTCCAAAAGCATCCATTTTTTGCACTGTACCTATCAGAAAAAGATGTAAAATTACATTTTTCCCTCCCAAAGATAGTGACCAGTGTTTTGTGGCTGTTTGTTCATCTAACAGAGTCGAATTAGAAGAATGTGGAACGACACAGTCAGAAAACAGTCTGAGTCCTCTTTCATCTCAGGAGACATCAACAGCACATCAACCCTCAACCAAGGTCGGTCATACACCCAAACTCACTTTTCTCTGAAATAATAGACTCAGACATAATGATGCTCTTTAATCAGTCATCCATGTTTAATTAAATGTTAAGTATTTAATTGACCTCAAATTCAATCAATTTTCTTTAATAGCCAATGATTTTAAAAGCTCTGCTCTAATGGACTCACCATTTTCATTTGAATTAAGTACCAAATTCATTTTTATTTTAAACATTTCAACAATTCTAACATGTATTTTAAGTTCACTAGGCCTGCTTTAGAAAGCTTGTTTTATTTTTCAAGTATATTTCAAATATATTTATTAAAAACATGTTTTTCATTTGCAATTTATAAGCTTATGAAAAGCATGATTACTGGTAAACATGCACGAGCATCAATTTGAAACCACTCAGATGTGATTTTAGTTCAAGTCAACATGAAACAGCACTTGCAACCCTTTTACTAATGTGATGTGACATATTTGTCAGATAGTAAATGAATTAGATTGTGAAAAGTGGTCTCTGTATGACAGGTGTTTGGAAGGGAGGGGTGAAAAATATAGGAAAAATTTCATCAGCCAAAAAGAAAAGTCGTTTCAGAGGCGAAGCAAGTCATTACATTTTGATGAAAGATTATGATGCAAAAAAATATATATATTTTGAATAACATGGACTGATGATTCGTTCACCGTAACATCAGGAAAATGTTTTGAGAAAGTAAATAGGGTCAACTTTGATTTCATGTTGACTTTAATGGAAAACCAAACGATTCATGTCCATTTAAAGACACAGGAAGCCAGACAAGCCTCTTTTGGGTCCGTTTTACACAGCTACAGTAGTGAGTCAGTAGAAAATATGCCCTCAGTCAGCTATTTCAAGAATCTAGAAAAAAAAAACTGTCATTTATTATTTAGCCAGGGCTGAAATGCATGTGATGAGAAGATGATGTTCAACTCTAGCTGACCTGTGGTAAGATTGTATTATTCAGAGCCGTTTGCTTTGGCTTGCTCTAAAACACTCAGCATGCTTTTAATGCATGCGTTCGAGCACAAAACACAAAGGTGCAAAAAAAAAACAAAAAAAACATGCTATTTGTCTTTCTGTGCTTCAGTGTCTCTGTTCAGAAACAATAACAAAAATGACTGGTTTTGTTTACAATATTTATATCACAACATTGTGAAAATAAAAATAATATGGACCAAAATTTTTTTTTCCTGAGATCTTGAATTAGTAAGAAGCTGTGCCCAGTATGGTAGTAGTTTTTTTCCCCCCCATTGACAAATATTCATCCTTTTATTTTGTACGTAGGATATCACTGACAAATATTCTTAACATTTAAAATTGGTTATTAGCATTTCTTGACATTAATTTGATTTAATATTAGCAAGTAGATTACAATGAAATTACATAAATATGCAGCTAGATAATTCATAGATCCATTTATTTCATTACTACTATAAGATTAGGTCATAATCTTATTTGTCCTCTTGTTTTTTTTTTTTGTTGCTTCAGGAATGACGGGCAATTATCTTCTTACTAACCCTCTTCTGAGACCACAAGGCACTAATAACCCCTACAACACCTTACTGGCTGAAACTATCGTATGTAACACACCAACGGTGCCAGTCTTTCACTCTCCAGGTGTGACTACTAATCCATTACGCTCCTGTTTGCCCTTCTGCTCATGTGGTACTGTGTAGTGCTATGAGTATTATCAGAGCACTAGGCAGTATCAGTATCTGTGCGGAGAAATCACACCGATAGATCAGATGCATTCGGCTAAAACTGTAGTTCTCGGTGTGTGATTTTATAGCACAGAGTAAAGCAATTTTTCTTCGCTATGAGATCATTGTGATGCTCACAAGATATTTTTTTATGCACAAATATTTTATTTCTCTTTTATTGAGTATTTGTTTACGTAAATGTAATACAGCTTTTTTGTTAATTTTATTACTATTATTTATTTTATTAATTTTTTGTGACACTGTTAACTGTTTGTGTCTTGTTTTCTCTTTCCCCTTCCTGCACACACTCAGTGACCTACAGAGAGACAAGTATGCAATCAGTTTTAAATTTGCCCTTCAAATGTAATTGTTTTACCATCATTTAACTCTATGGCCATCAACAGACCATCCACATACTGTCAGCACATGGTTCAAAAATCATTAGAATGAGGAAATGTTGCTCTAAATGCAACAATACTTTCATCACCTCTGCATTTTACAACTTGGCACGATGCATGCACATCGCACACACAATTGAGATTTCTTAGTCTAAATGTACACATCATTCTGAATGGAGATTGTACTGAAAGCAGCCGCCTTCTCTCTTTGTTAAACACAGTTTCGTTGGACATTGGGTTGGATTTATCCAAATACTTTCTTCTCCGTTAAAAGTCGAATGGCTACGGATGTTGAAGCCAGTCTCATCAATATGAAAAGCATATAGTTTGTAGTTAATATTTGCTTCTACTGTTGCTCATCCAGTCATGAAACTGAGATTCAGATGTTTTATGAAAATTAAATTCACAACTTTTTCACAAAAAAAGTTTTACTGTAGCATGTATTTATTTGTTTGTTTGTTATTATATATATATATATATATATATTTTTTTTTTTTGCCAAGTTATGAATTTCATTTTCATAAAACATGGATGTATGATGTCTGAACCCCTCGAGTTTATACAGGTGTCCTTGCAAAATATCGACAGGTGTAATTCACCACATTAGCTATAGACATGTTCCACTTAAACCGGAGAGTGTCCAAATACTTTTGTTATAATTTTTGTAATTTAAGTTATAGTCTTATTATTTTACCATTTTTTTTTTTTATGTTTTGTGTAACTTTTTTTTCTGTAAACGAATCTATTTTGACGTGTTGTTAGATAATGCAAGTAATTAATTTAATATGGAAGCTTGTTTCCATCAATCAAACAAATAAAGATAATTGTGACTTTGTATCTCACAATTCTGAATTTTTTTTTTATTTAAATTTTTTATTTTTTTTGTAATTGTAAATGTATCTCAGAGTTGAGTGATTTAAACTCGCAACTGGTGTTAAAAAGTCAAAATTGCAATTTTATGTCTCACGATTCTGACTTTATAAATCGCAATTGCGTATTATAAAGTCAAAATTGTGAGATATAAACTCACAATGTCAGAATTGTGACTTACTTTTTTTCTTCAAAATTGCAAGTTTATATCTCACAATTTTGAGAAAATTAATTTTAACCCGATCTCATGAATTAGCATTTCAGTGTTTCAGCATTTCAATGGATTTTCTGTTTCTATTACTAGTTATACACATAAATGGACTTTGGCATGCATATGATACGCAATTGGTAGGTTTAGGGGTGTGGGGTAGGTGCATATTATACACTGAAAAACATTATGCTAAATTTAAGGTAAATGGTTGCCAATAATTGATTTTAGCTACATTTAATAAAAAAAAAATTTGAAATGTAGTAAACTAAATTAGTTTATTTAAATGTAGCTAAAATAAATTGATTGCAACCACTTACCTTAAAAAAATGTAGTAGATTTCGAAAACTTTTTTCGCATATTACTGTATATGCATGCCAACAAAGTGCGTATCATATGCATGCAAAAATGGCGTATTATATCCACGTCAAACACGTGCATATCCTATGCACGCCAGAGTTAGTTTCTGTGTATAAATAGCACGTAAAATACAAAATAAAAAAATATTGTGCTATAGATATGCATTTTCATGAGACTAGAAATTCATTAAATTTGCGAGAAAAAAAAAAACGTTTTATTTTTAACCCTATGGCGGAAACAGGCTTCCATAGTATCATAGTGTATGTGTAGTGTCCCCAGTATATTCTTTGTTACCCTCCTCCAGTTTAACATCTCTGTCTGTTTACGAGTTTGGTGAGGGATTCTGTCAGAGAAAAGCCCTCATGTTTCTTTAGCCCTTCCGTCTCAATATCCAGCAGAAATCTCTCTTAAACTCCCTTTCCTCAAATTACTGTCCCTCTTCTGTTCCCATCTGCCATCTCCTTCCTTTGTCTTGTCATTTCTATGGAGAGGCTCAGAGAATAGCTGTGTCCGAGCCGCCCACCGGTGGGCTCTCGTAAGATGCAGTTAAAGATTATCGTAGCTCATGCAGACGGCCACTCATCCACAGGCGCGCAAATGAGCTCCAATTACCACATAAAGTCCAGTCCAGCAAACAAACCCAACTGTGACATTTAACGGAGGGAAAAGGCCTTAATTGTGATGTTAATTTAATTTGCTGAGTCCTTTGCTTGCGCTAACGTTGTAATTTGGTTTGTTTTTTTTCCCCACTTTTTTCTGTTAGTGATATCTCATCATGTTTTACAATAAATCATTTTCCTTTTTGTTTTGTGTTCTTTTCGTTCATCAGCAGCGCTCAGGTCTGCTGGCCTGAACAGACAGACTTGATGTGAGTTGTTCAGAGTGAGTTTTCTCTCTCCTGTCTGTTGGATGCTTTCGCTTTCATTGGCTCTCTGTAGTTTGAGAAATGGCTGTTTGTGTTTTTTTTTTTTCTAATTTGGCTTTTTTTCTGTTACTTTCAAACTCTTCACCCCCACCGCCTTAACTGCTTCAAATACATGCTGATGTTTGATGAATTCTGTAACTGTCACCGCTCTTTCATCTGTGAATATACATCTGTGCCGCTCTCTCATTTGTGTCTGTGATGTTTGAAGCCTACAGAATGATTTTAATGTTGTTTGGGATGTAGTTGAAACCAACGTTCCGAAATTGGTCATTGTGAATTGTTCAAAATTGTTTGATTGTGAATTCTCCACAGTTTGAAGTTCTGAATTATTCCTCAAAGAATGAATTGTGCCTGCGCCTGCCGATTCAGTAAGGGAATTATGCAAATCAGGAATTATGCGCTGGAATTATGCAAATCACGTACACCTAGATTTGACGGACTACTGCAATCTGGCGTACTTTGCTGGGGCTGTAGAACTGGGATCCATGCTCTTTAAAATCCGGAAATACAACTGCACGTTATTAGGGCCTGGTTTAACTGGATTGTGTGTCGTTTGCAAATAATGCATGATTTCACGTTGAAAGTAGTTAAACTACTTAGTAAATTCACCACTTAATTCAAGTCAATTTCATTTTTATAGCACTTTTCACACTACATATTGTTTCAAAGCAGCTTTACAGAAAACCATGATGTTAATGTTTAAACATATTAATATCTTGCCTTGTAGTTACATTTATGAGTTTAGAGCTGGGTGGTAATATAGTTTACATTTTGTCGTTGAGATATGCTATATAGTATCTGTCGCCCTATGCAAGTATATATGCAAGTATATACTATATAGTGTATTGTATGTATGCGATATAATATAATCCATTGGATATAATATGCATCCGACTTTATATAGGGAGCTGTTCGATAAAACAGTGTACAATTTTTGTATGCTCGTCAAATGTCCAATTTTTAACATATCATTGGGCGATAATATAGTTTGCATTTTTCCTAACGGAGCCTTACAGTTCTGCACGCGCAGACTAAAGATTTGCGATTTTTACATGTTCTAAAAATTTTCGCATTGATGCATTTGACTCCTAAACAGCATTAAACATTGTGATTTAATATTTCGGATGCTCCGAGAGCGGACGACCTAACGATTTTCTTCCTCTTGTGTTGTTGCAGGACACTCGGTGACCAGCGGCAGAGATACGAACACGTTCGGGACTCTGCCACTCAACGGTAACTTTAATAACAGCTACTCACTCCATAACTACAACGACGGCGTGCAGGTGGTGGATTGCGGGCTCAGTCTCAATGACACGGCCTTCGAGAAGATGATCATCTCTGAGCTCGTGCACAACAACCTCAGGGCCACCGAGTCCCGGATCAGCACCAAAAAGGGGGCGGGGATCAGCAGAGGGGAGGAGACTGTGGTCGCGGAGACGTCGTCCCTGGTGCAGGTGGGTGGGGACAGCGAGATGGACGGTCTGGGGCTTCACCACACGCATCCCCGCACGCTCGAAGCTCCCCTCATCCCCCAGCGGACTCACTCGCTCCTGTACCACACGCAGGAGAGAGCGAGGGCCGACACGGACGGAGGGCCTACGCATCCCCACAGCTACATCGGCCAGTTCCCGCCTCCGGCCGAGACCGCCCTGCCCTCCCCCAACAGAGACTCGGTGTACACCAGCATGCCAAACCTCAGAGACTCGCCATTCTCGGAGAGCAGTCTAGACGTCGGCCAGGACCTCTCGCCATCCAAACACAGTCCGAGCGAAGACGTTTACTATAAAAGCATGCCCAACCTGGGGTCAGGCCAGCAGCTGCACGCGTATTATCAGATGAGCAGAGACAGTAGCGAGGGCCTCATCATCCCCGTCTCTAAAGACGCCTGTGTCCCCGAGGGGGACGTACGAGAGGGACAAATGCAGCTGGTCACAAGCCTTTAAAACAAACTGTAAGCACCGCCCACCATGTACACAGCCCCGCCTATCCACCGATGGCAGAGTGGTCTTCCTTTTTTAGCCTCCCACATAACTGCACACATAATGGAGAAGTACCGCTGCTGTCCAACGAGTTACAGGCAGGCCCAGACGGAATCTGCAGACTTTTTATTGCATTTTCTGTGCTGATTTTTGCTGGAAATTTGCAGTGCAATGGATTAAGTTGGTGAAATGGGTCATACCAAGCCTTGTTTTTTGGTAAAATATCCTTAAAAAAATGCATAAAACCTGATATTAATTAAGATTCCTTTAATTATATTTTTTCTTACCCCACTGGCAAATTTTATTATTATTAATATTATTATTGTTGTTGTTACTTAAATTTTACTGACTTCAAACAGGGTATAAATACTTCCCCTTTTCTTACCTTCCCACCTTTTTCCTACCTTTCCCACCACTTGGTGTTCCTGGTCAAAAATGGTATACGTTGCCAAAATGATCTTAAAATAATGTTGTTTTTACTCAAAAACTGAGGTGCATAAACCAGGGCTGCCAGGGCTTCATATCAAAACCAGCCCAACTGCTACTCAAAACTAGCCCAATTACATCCAAATCAAGCTCAATAGCAGGGTTTCCACGGGGGTCGTACACAGTCGAAATCACATTCCAGAGGGGCAGGGGATTTCGCTTTACCCCACGGACTAAAAAAACAACCCGCAGCAACAGTATAAAAGTAGCCCAGTTCCGCAGGAAAAGTGTGGATCTGGCAACACTAGCATAAGCGCAGATCAATGAAGCCAACAATCATTCAGTTCAGAAACAGAAGAAAAAAAAAACCTGTGCTAAATGCAAGAAAACAAAAAGTTGACAAATATATTCAATCCAAGATTTGATGATAATATAACTTAAGAAATTCACAATTTTTAAATGACTTGCAACACCACATTAGGTAAAGGATTTTCAGCACAAGGGTTAAGAAGGTTTATTCTTAAAAGGGTGAAATTGCCAATGGGGTAAGAAACAATCTTAAGGCATACTTCAGCAAGTATACTGTTGTTTAAATAAATGTTTTTACTGGAAAACATGTGGAAACATGTTTTTGCCATTTTTAATTGTTACCCTGTTTTTGGTAGCTGAACATAATCAAATTAGCCACAATTCTTTAATAAACAAACAAACAAGGGTCAGCTGAAGTGTACAGTAGAACTTTGAGAATGAGGGCCTTGCAATGTTCTTTGGTTGCAGATTCCGTGTGGGCCTGGTTATAGAAATACAGTTTCACATAAAAAATAAATAAAAATAAAACTAAGCCAAAAAAAAAAAAAAGTCTTTCTCGTTCCAGTGCATACGTTTCTCAAAGGATGTACATATATGTTCACATATTTCTCTTTTGAATGCAAGTTTTGCTTTTGCTTTTTTTGTTTATTACACAGTATACAAAAATGGAATTTCCAGGACCTTAAGACATGCAGAGATTGTCCTGACTGAACTAAAGGAGTCCGGTTACACCCTTTACAATCCTCGGCAAACTCCCATATGACCACTAGAGAACAAACCCCAGGCCTTATATTTTCTCAATCATACACGGAACTGTCAAGGGTAATGATATAACATAGAACAATATATTTTGTTGTATTGATTGTGTAAAATAAATTACTATGAAATAATCAAGAACGACCCTAAATATAAAGCAAATTAAGAGATTTTGAAAATGAGATGACTGTGTAAAAAGTTTCGAAGCGTGTTTATGATGATGCAATCGGTGGATGACCGCAGGTACGCTGCGAAAGACATGGAAATGTCTCTGTCCTGTTCATGAAAATGGGTTTGCCGCTTCACATCAGTTCATTTTACAAGATTCTGATGTTCTCGTGCCTTGCACACATTTATTTTGTGCAAATCTGTGCAAAGCATGAAAAATGTAACGACTGAAGCCCGCAGCTGAGCATGAAGGAGGACCTTCTTCTTTATAGACATATTACTGCAGCTGGGGTTAAATATTTATTTATTAAATTATTCTTTAAAAATGATACTTTTTGTGAATATTTTACAGCACTGGTCGACGTAGTTCATCCTCATAAGCATAATTATGAAAACCCATCTCTGATAAACATGTTATGGAGCCCATCTCTACAAAGGATGTAAAGTTCTACACTTGTTTAACAATAAATAAATGTGAATTTTTTTGTCTAATCGAATGTGTTGTTATTTGCACTCTGGCGATTCGAAACATGAGTGCGTATTTGCTTGTTTGTGTAAAGGTACGGGAACAGAATGATGGTCAATCCATTTTAAAACTGAGACGGTATTTCATCGCTCTTTTATCTCGGTGGTTTGGCATGTTTATGCTATTTAAGCTGGTGATGCACATCAAAGTGAAACGCGCTGTAAGCTGATACATAAACTGCCATATGAACCCTCATAAACAGCCTGAGAACAGTTTGCTGCATTCTAGCTAGAGGGCAGTGCACCGGGGAACCGCAAGTTCATTTACTGGAGAAAACTGCAGTTTATGAAGTTTTAAACCTGTCTCTCTGAAGCCCTGTTTGAAACTATCAGTCTTCAGAAAGTCTCTCTCAGACAGCTCCCTGCACTGCATCTGCTGACGTAACCCAGAAATTCTCCCTGCGCCTCTTTGAAGTCATCTGAAATCCTCACAACTCCTTTAGGAGACATACGAGTCAAAGATGAGACAAAGGTTATGTGTAGAATAACATTCAGGCTTACTGCTTGATAAATACTGTGCAGGAGTAGAGTGACACTGAAATGTTAATACACTGAAATATAGACATTTGTCTAATAGTAGGTTTAACAGTAATATGAAAAGCTGGAGTGAATTCTGCAAACGTTTCAAACAGTAATATATTTGAAATTAAAATAGAAAATTTGCTTTACATTATGCAAATGTTTTGTCCAGTCCCTTGATCACAAAAAAAGAAAGAAAAAAGCATTGCATTGTAGGAAACAATTGAATTATTTTGATTGTTAGGCAAAATTTAGGTAGAGTTAAAAGTATATTGATTAATTGTAACATAAAAATGTTTAGAAGGTGTAACTGTCTAGAGATTAAAGAAAAAAATCATCAGTAAAATTCTGAATTTCTTTGGTAAGAAAGAAAGAAAGAAAGAAAGAAAGAAAGAAAGAAAGAAAGAAAGAAAGAAAGAAAGAAAGAAAGAAAAATAAAATCATTGTTAATAATATTTAAATACATTCTTTTAATTTCTGAAATTATCATTAAATTAAAATAATTGTATAATTATTACAGTTACAGTTAATAACAAGACAATCAAGTTAGTCAAGACGATTATTATTACTGGACATTTTTTATTAGCTTTTATTGATTACTGTACAAAAATATAAACTATATGAAAGTAACATGATTACTAAGATGACATTTTTAATGTATTTGCACATGAATTTTTATCCAAAGTTCTTGTCCTGAACAGATTTTTTTTTCCTTCTTCCAAAAAATGAAGAAAATAGTCAGAAACGTTCCACACTTGAAGTCACAGCTTCACCTTTTAGATCCTTTATTGTATTCTGCCTGTGAAAGATCATCATGAAGTCAACAGGGACACAACACAGCGTCATTAATTAATAGGGATCGGAGCACAACCTTGAATGCAGGTGTGCTTTCTGGGTGAATATTGATTATGAATTGCCTTGCTGATGGCGAGAGAGCATCAGGCGACTAAACCATCGGGTGATCAGGGCAAATCATCTCTCTGTGGTTTTATTTAGCCTTATTGGGATTCAGGGCAGATGTGATGTGTAGGGTTAGAATACAGCATTGATCATGTGACCAGATTTATGAATAACATGCATTCCAATATCTCTTTTAGTTTAGGATTAGAAGAAGAAATTCTGAAAAGTGACTGAAAAGTACTTCAGGGTGAATCGAACATTCAGAGGAGTAACAAAGCTCCGATTGTTTTCCTTTCAAATATTTATTCAGCAAATAAATGATTTTTTTTTAGTCTGCACAATCGATCGCAGTGTCGAGATAAAAGACAGCTCTAAATTAGAACATCATCAAAGCAAAATCTTCACGCTATGTGGGTAGAACAAGTCACCTTGTGTTTTCGTCCCCTTGAATATCGTCATCCTTTACCTGTCAAGGCAAGCAATTTAGCTGTGAAGCTTCCAATAGGAAAGAAAATCACAAATAAAAAAAAAATAAAAAATCTCCCTCTCAATTGTTTCTTCTACAGCACTGAGAATAAATGGAGAGCAAACAGAGACTAACAAACATTTTCACCTTAAAAATACTTCACTTGCCCTCATGGTGTTTCAAATCAAATGTTTGCTGTTTTGTGAGACGTCACACATTTGACCCAGACCTGCTGTCGATGGCAAAATGTTCAGCGAATAATGACTCTTCATTCTCATAATGTCTTTTTGAAGGCTCCTGAGAAACAGACCACAGTACTATAACCTCTTGAATTTCACAACAACGTCTCAGATTTGACGTCTCTGTGCTCAGATTTGCCAAGACACCGCAGAGTGCAATCAATAAACAGATTATAATATGAATTCAAACATTGCACATCAAATTCTTGCAATGCATCAACAAGGATCTGAGATAGAATATCTGAATGTCATGCATTATAGTATTCTCTAACTCATTCTGTCTCTTTAGTCACACTTTATTTTAAAGTCCAATTCTCGCTGTTAACAAACCATTAACTATGACTTTTGTCTCAATAAACTCCTAATTTGTTGCTTATGAATAGTTATTAAGGTAGATGTTAAGTTTAGGTACTGGGTAGGATTACGGATGCAAAATGAAATAAATGCTATATAAGTACTAATAAACAGCGAATATGTTAATAATAGGCTTGCTAATAAGCCTATTATTAACATATCTACTAAAGTGTTATTACAGGTGCATCTCAATAAATTAGAATGTCGTGGAAAAGTTCATTTCAGTAATTCAACTCAAATTGTGAAACTCGTGTATTAAATAAATTCAATGCACACAGACTGAAGTAGTTTAAGTCTTTGGTTCTTTTAATTGTGATGATTTTGACTAACATTTAACAAAAACCCACCAATTCCCTATCTCAACAAATTAGAATACTTCATAAGACCAATAAAAAAAACA